CTCTCATTCTAAGCAGCCTCTAAATTCTTAAATGTGTGTAAATGGAAAACATGCTGTGGGTCTTTATTCCACTGAGCAGCAAGAAATAAATCAGAACCCACTCCCCCTTCTCACACCCCAACTCAGTCACTCCCTTGATACTTCACAGATGTGCAGCATTGGAGGGAAGAGCAAAAATGCTTTATAAAATTAATATGTGCAAACTGCTTTATTTACCATAAATGCCTAGCCTGGGGCTTTCTCTGCTGTGCCCTGTCAAGATATTAAGCTGAGTTCTTGCCTCCTGCCAACCAAAAAGTTCGCCTTTGTCAGACAGAAGGGTCTCCATTTTCCATACAGGAGAGGCAGTTGGTGGTGACGTGGTACTTGACATATAAGGTGAGGCGGCTGCAAGTTAGTGGTAAACAAAACAGTTCATCCTGAATGTATAAAATGTGTAAATCATCTTAGGATCCTGCCGGGTTCAAAGTCCTAAATAAATATCTGTCATTACTATAATTGATATGAAAGCGAATGCTGGAGACCCAATAGATGCATACAAATGCTGGAACTTGCATCCGTGGTTCATTCATATCTAAAAATATGTAGAAGATATACCACCGAGCTCATGAAAGGCATTTAACTGATTTTAATAGCAGTCATTACATTAGAAAATGAGACTTCCTCTTGTAACAGAGATGAACTGGGAAGAAACAAAGGAGGAGAGGTAACTAGTGCAGCGCCCCAGTGCCCTGCCAGAATTACTGCTCATCATTCTTGCTTTCAGCAGTTAGCCGGCTCCTTTTGTCAAAGACTACCACCATCTAATGAAACAATTAGGGCTTGACAGTTTAAATATGCTATTTTGTTCTTTTCAAGCGTAAGTGCCAGCCACTGAGACAAACTATATCCACCACCTTCCTATCAGCAGAGCCATTGTTATCCCAGATAGAATGCCCTAAAAATAAAATCCATTTTGTATGTGAAGCTTCATCAAGTCAGGTCATGTCTGCTCCTCGGGGCAGATTGCAGTGTACTAATTTCATTATGCTATTTTTAAATGTGGCCTCCCTGGATCTTTTCATATGTCCTACATAGCTCAACAAGGCGCCAAGTTAATGTTCAGGGCTCTCTTGCTAGTCACCTCTGCCCACCCTGCTCCACCTCTAACCTCAGCAACCTCTCCAGGCCTGGATGGTTAACGAGATGTAAGCGCGCTATAATGATGGATGTGTTCCCCCTTAGATCAGCATCACTACTGAGCACTGTCCAGCACACGAGCTATTAGAAGATCAAATTGGCATCAGTTTCCTGAATTCATTATTAAAGTTGCTCCAGTTTTTTCAACAAATTCACAAAAAGAGAAAATGGCTTTCTAAGATATCTTAAGCTGTTTTTAAGTCTCTGTGTACGTATTTCTGTTTTGCCTCTTGTATAAAATTTATTTTTTTAGTTACAAAGTTAACACATGCATAGGTTTATGAAGAGTGCAGAAGAAGAGCATGTCATTATTCATGACTCTTTCCAGTCTACTAGAAACCCAGCTCAAACTTGATATGCAAAAAGGGGTATATTGTTCATATAATCAGAGCTAGAAGTAGCTTCAGTCACAACTGGATTGATTATGGCTCAAATTAATGCCATAAGGACAAGATTTTTCTCTCCCAGTCTCTCAGTTGTACTTTTCCTTGTGTCATCCTGTGTCTCTGGGAAGCCTTCTCCTGGTGGCCCACAACAGCCCCGGGCTTACATCCTACCAGCTGAGTAACATTAACATCTTCTTCCTAACTGTTCTAATGAAAGTCTCAAATTGAGTTTCATTAGCATGGCTTGGGTATGTGCCCATCCCTAAACCTATCAGGGTTTAGCCTGGCCAGGGGAAGTCTTTGATAGAGCAGATTTTTGTTATATGCCCCTCACAAAGCCAGAATTTTAGATCAACCTCATAAGCCTCATGGCCTGAGGAGGGAGGTAGGGTTCGCCAAAAGAACATCATATATACCATCATAAGAAGGAGTAGCTGCTGAGCAAATAACAACAAATGTGCAAGACAAAGGCCTCTGTCCTCACAACCTAAAACTAGAATCAAAGATATGTCTTAATCCTAGAGAGTCTGGAATGTCTAGGACTACTTCTAAAAACTTCAATAAATTTGTACTAATTAAAATAATAAACTTTTCCACACAGGAATTCAGAAACCATCAGGAGATAATGCAGGGAATAATGAGGAAATCATGCAGGACAGAGAGAGAAAAGACAATGTGTGATGAGAAGTCACCAAGGCATAGGGTCCACAAGTTCCAGTCCCTGCTGCACACACACATTGTCAGTATGTTGTCCCCCCGCCTTCTGGCCGCCATTGTTCCTGATGAGAAGTTGCTTATTAATCTTCTTAAAGTTCCCTTGTATGTGATGATTCATTTTTCTTTTACTGCTTTCAAGATTCTCTCTTTATCTTTGGCTTTAGACATTTTGATTATGATGTATCGAGGTATGGATCTCTCTGCGGTATCCAACACAGAGTTTGAAAAAATAATGGCTAAAACTTCCAAATTTGATAAAAGTATTACATGACCAGAAAGCTCAACAGATGTATCTTCTGCCGATTTCTCTCTCCCCTCCTCCTCTGGGTACTCCCTTTACACATACGTGTATGGCATCTCACATTTCTAGAAGGCTCTGTCTATGTCTTTTTTCTCTCTGTCCTTTGGATTATGTGCTCACTGTTGATCTAACTTCAGGCTTACTGATTTTTTTCTTTTGCCAACTCAAACCGACTTTTGAGTCCTTCTTAGTAAGTTTTTCGTTTTGGTTATAGTACTTTTCCAGTTCAGAATTTGATTCTCTTCAAACTTTTAGTCTTTTCATTGATATTCTCCATTTGCTAAGACATTGTCATCCTTTCCCTTAATTATTTAGACATGGTTTCCTCCAGTCCTTTGAACTTATTTTTAATAGATGCTTTAGAGTCTGTGTCTGCTAAGTCCAGTATCTTGGCCCCTCAGAGGCGGTTGCTATTACCTGCCGCTTTTCCTGTGTATGTGTCACACTTTCCTGTTTCTGAACACATCTTGTTAACTTTTCATCGTAAACTGGACATTTTAGATAATATATTGTAGCAACTGTGAATATTGATATCCTCTGAGGAGTTGCTGCTGCTGTTGTTTGAGCATTTGTTTATTTGTTTGATGACTTTGTTGAACTGTGAAGTCTACTTCCCCTGTAATGTGCAGTCTCTGATGTCTCTGCTCAGATTATTTTCCCCTTGTTTTTATTGTTTACCCTGGCTTTTTGGGGGGTTGTTCCTGAGTCTACTTACGGGTCAAAAGTTGTTTTAAGCCTCCATGGTCAGTTAGACTTTACCCATTACCACTGGATGTCTGTGTGGCTTGGGGACTGCCATCACAATTCAGGGAGTTTAAGTTTTTGCCTCACCATCAGCCAGAGACTAGTAGCTTGGAAGTTCCCTCTTCAACCTCTCCCGAGAGGGTACAGTTTGGGGCATGTACTCAGTCTCTCCAACTACCAGCGATGCACATAATTTTATTTTTAAGCCTGGCTTCCTAGGGCTTGGCCCTGGGCTAGAGCAGTTTACTGTTCAGCCAGTGTTTTGTCAAGAGGTTGTGCTTAAATCCCTTGTGCCAGTAAGGCTTCTACCCTGTGTTCGGGAATCTGTGTGCAACTTGGGGAATGATTTCAAATCAGCCCAATTCCTGGATTCTTTCTGAGTAAGTACCTGGTAGATGGGCACAGCCCTTCCTCCTCACAGGGTTGACTGTGACTCCAGGAGTTATTCTTGGCTGTCTCTTTCTGTGGTTCTCTCTCTTAAACTTCTGGCTGTTCTGCTGTTTCACTTGCTGCTACCAGTATCATGGAGCTACCAAACCCTCTTAATTGCACTCCACCAAGGTCTCCATTGTTTTCAAAAATACCCTTAGGCCTGGAATTCTGCAAGCTCTGTTCCAAATATAGTCAGCCCCCTCTAACAGAGCTGTTTACAACTTTCTTCTCTCCCTGAGCAGAACCTCTCCACTGTGACACAGGAGCTGAGGCAGTGGTCTGTCTCTCCCTAGTGACACCCCTGCTCTACAAGTGGGTGCTGGAGTTGGGGTTAGTAGCCCCTTGTCTTCTCAGCTTGCCCGCCCCTGCCCTCCAGTGTGGAGCATCCACACTGCCAGGGCAGGGGCAGTTGGAGCCCCAGTATTCTCAGACTGCCACACGGGTAGAGTCTCTGCCCTGTAAAGGGCTGATGAGGGGATGGGAACCTCAGTGCTTTCAGCCACACC